GACATTGTCGAACGAGATCTTTACCATGCACCAACAGAATCCACACCGTCTTTCCCACGTCTAACGAGACTACCTCCATTACGTTCAACATTTTACATACATTCCGTGCACTTATTATCAATGTATTAAATAAATGGTTGCCTCCCTTCGACTGCGTTCAATTTTATTTCCATTAATCGCTTTTCGTCATTTTCGGCTCGATGTCTGACAACGCCGGCTTAATACCTTATTTATTGTAATTCCTCGCGCCAACTTAGTAGATGTTGTTTAAGTGCTTTTATGATGTTTTCGTGAAGAAAGCAGTCTGGGGGTAATTATTTAGCAGTGTTCTGCGGTTTCGTGCGGCGAGCGGCCGGCGTACTTAATGAGGGCCTGCGTAATAACCTGCGATTATTAATATGGACGTAGTCTACCGCGTCTCTCGTTACTGAAGCATCTTGCACTCTTGAGATTCACCGTTTGCTGTTGTTGCCGGCGTTTCACGCTTATAGGATGCTTTCTTGCTCTACGATCGATTCTGCGGTAGCGTCTAAGCTTATTGAAGTCATGAATGCTTATTTTAATGATGTTTTGCTGTACCATTATATCAAGTAAAGACACTAGATGGAGATTATCACACAATGAGATATTACAAGCACTGAATAGTGTAGTATGTCTTACTCCGAAAATATCATCTTAACGTTGTACTATTTTTAACTAATTTAATTTACAAGTATCAGAACCTTTACGGTTCTTAATTGCACTTCTATCGAATTCATCGTAGTCGTCGCCAGTATTGCCCCTTTCAAATTCCTATTGATTAGCTTTCTCTTTAAATAAACAAGTTGGATTAGTCGGTGATCATGCAGATTACTGTTCATATATTGGACATTGACAAAAGCGGTATTCATTCGTTCCTCCATCCTATCAATAACATTGTGGGAGCCTCATTAATGAATTGAAAAGCGCGCATCTTCATTATGACGGACTTGATAACTATTGTAGGAGAGTATTACGATGCGGGTGCCGCATGTGTGCGCGTACGCAGGAATTCATGTGTGTATCGGTGGCCACTGTATGTATACGTAAATTGCGTCAGTATCGTTGCACACACGAATCATAATTTCCGCCGTAGTTTTCTCACGCTCACACACTCATGCATACATATAATTTGCACTGGTGGTAACTAAGTGTGCATATTAAGTTTGTTTGTGTGTACATTTATCGAAAATTAGTTCTGCCGCGAGGATCGAAAATATTTAGTGAAAATTGACAATATTGATTGTAATAGGATGGGAATCGATGCACGTGCGACCGTTATATTAAACATTTATACCATTTAATAACACATTGGATACAACTTGCAAAACAGAAATTACGACCGCACCTCTTTCTAGTCTTTGATATGCGACATTTTTAATGATACAATTTTGCGTGAAAGTATCATATTAAAAATTCCTTATGACTAGATACCTTAATACTTTTGATATAAAATTACATCACCTACTACGAATAAAATTACTAGTTAGACACGAACAATTGCATTTTGCACGTGCTTTACTATCACTTTTTCTTTGTAAACTCAACTACAAATTACTTCGAACCTCTCGTTGTATGCGTACGTGTAAAAATATAGTTAGAAACAAATTATAGCATTATAGACCGTTCACCTCAGCTCTAATTACTGGCTCTTTGCATAATTTCCATACACATTAGCACTGCGAAATGATCTACAAATTGCTTTAGAGAAGAACCACAATAATTATACGCAGTAATTGGACTTATTTACTTTGTCATATTCAAGATATCGTCAGGTTCCATGCTAGGAGTAATCTTTCACATGTTGAGAAAATTTAAATTTAAATGAGGTAACACGTTAGCTCTTGTTAAGATAACGAACTCGGACTATTCTTAATTAGTATCCTTATCTGAACTTCTCATATTAAATTTATGAGTCATTAAATTTAAATATATTCTTATTGGCTAGATTAATGTGTTCATCATTTCTATAGAGCAAACTTTGACCAGGGAGGTATTACCAGGTAGGATCGCAATTATTGGACAAAGAACTTCATTTATACTAAATAACTGTCACACGTCTCGTTAAATATTGACATTATCGATATGTTCGATACAATTTATCACGATTTCAAGGGCCTGCACGACCGTTAATATGTAAACATGATTATAGGTGCGGTCACCCAAATTGTTTGTAGAAAAAACCAAGGTCTCACTGAAGATACTTTTTTCTTTATTTAATTTTAATATCACTTAATGTCCACATCCCGTTCAAGGTTTGTCGCCGATTTATAGTAATTTCGTATTTTATCACACATCCGGCGTTTATTCACTCATTAGTCAGCTTGATTAATGGAATAATGAGTTACGCCATATATTACTCAGTTCCTTTCATTGATTTAATGATTGTCTAACCGTAGTTGGAGGTGAGGATATTGTAAAACGGAATTATTAGTTTCAACTTGATTTAACATATTTTGTGCAAAACTTTTGTAAGTGTCTCTTCTGTCTAATATGATAAGAAGTTTGTAAACATGCTTTGTTAGATTTTCATCGATTACCCCTATGTCCAAGCAGTCCCTGACAATTATGAATGTAAATATATATACGATTTTATTATTTTTCCTATTAGCAACATCGCCTTATTTATCAGAGTAGAGGACTGGAAAAGGTTTGATTTTTTATGATAATCAATTATATCTATTATCTTATTGGAACGTCATGTGACATTTTCTTATTGTTATAGGTATCTATCTCATATTTATCATCTTAATACACTATATTATTATTGAGCCCTCGTTATGTATTTGTGGAAACTTTTATCCGTGATAACAATCCAGATAACGCAGATGACGGCTTAATCTCAATTTTAACGAATTTTCATGCTTGTTTACCTATCTCATTGGATAGATACAATCAGAATTTCTTTAAAGACTCTTATTGCAAAGTGGAAAGGAATATAGTAAAACGTGTTCGCTTTGATCACGTTATAATCTTATGTTTGCCGAGTTCCAGGTTTGTTGGTTGCTTAATTGTAAATGTGTCAGTGTTGACAACGTGGACAGCTGTCATTCGGATAAATTGATCGCAGTTGTTTGCGCAAATAACAGTTAGATAAGCAACGATTACTAAGTATTTTAATTTAGATACCTATATGAGTGTTGTGTAAGTACTTAGATTACAAACATCTTCATGCCTGTGGGAAATGGAGTTGCCGACTTTTTAAGAGACTTGAAATAAAATAAAACAACTAGGACATGATATGAAATAAGATATTGGAGTGATAGGCGAAACCAGAAAATGTATTTTATTTTTTGTGTGAGTGTTTACACTGACTAAAGAATAAGATTTAAGCTAGTACGTAATTATGATATTTGGGGTTCGATCGATTCCATAATCGTGATGATGTATCTTCGATTGTCTGTTGTTTCATATGGGTTATTATTGCTGTAATAATTATTCATATCGAAACAGGTATTGTGATAAGAAGTTCTGTGTTACAGATTGAGTAAAAAACTTTTTGAACATAATTTCTATACCAACAACTTCAGAATAATGACGAAATGTAACGTTATAAAAAAAACTGGTGACATAAGCAAACGCCCCACCTACTTCCGTTTATGACGTCGTTTGGCACAACCCATACAAAGTCACCTTCAGTTAACTAGGTGAAACCAGTCCGTGAGAAATAGGCGATTGATTATTTATATTGTTGACTCTTTTAGTAGTAATAGTTAACGGAGCATTGCAAGCTATTGCTCATACTTCAACAACTATTTCATCCTCATCAGCCGATGGACCGTCCACTGCTGTAGACAGGCCTCTTCAAGAGATTTATACAACTCTTTGAATTTCAATAAATAAAATTGGGATAATTATAGGGGTATTCGGTCATACATAATGTACCAGCGGATACAGTCAAATAAAGGACATTGCTCGTTCTCCATATATTGAATGCCCCAGAACGCACAGCAATGATAAAATGCTAGTTGTGTTCGGAATCATTCATAAACTCTCATTAGGTATTTGTTGAAATACGGACAACTTGAGGAACCGTGGCCTACTACATAATGTATTAGATTTTGAGGTTATAATTATGATATTTATCGTAAACGATGTACACTTTATTTATTATGAATATATTTATTGTTTACCCTTTGTGTAAGCACTTAAATAATATGAATTAAATGGACATAAAAAAGCAATTAATAATAAAAATAATGAATGCTTATATTCATATTGATTAATGAGTGATAGCAGTTGGCACCTATGATACCTATACCTACTTGTTTGATAATAATAGATTTATATTCAAATGAAATGTGTAAAGGCTTTCCATTTGCTGTTTCTATATTTAATTATTGGTAATTAGGTATGTACCTGGTTATCTTTATATTACCTGGTTTCATAAAAATAAATATATGGGTTGGGAGTATACATTGGCTTAACAGAATTTCAGAAATTATCTACCTTTAAATATAATTTAACACTAGTGATTAATATTATTAACTAAGGAGGGTAGGTACCTAGTAAATAGCGCGCTGAGATTCGATTTCATGACAGACTAGATTTCGCACGCTTGATATTGTGTGGTCTAATTGTCCCTTTATACACAAACGGCACATCTTTTTATGACGCTTTTGAATTTAGATGAGACAGTCTCTTAAAGCTCTAAGGATGACATGACAGCAAATAGTGTAGTAGTTACAAAACTTATAATTATTATTTTTTTAGCACAGAATATCCGTTTACTATGATTAATTTCTAATGAAGTAAAAAAATAATAGTGAAGGACATCCGTTTGTGCGTGCTGAGGCAAATTTCGTCTATGTCCTTTCCATTCTACTTAAAAAATCTTCTCCCAAACCCATTTAAAAACATCTTTAGTGCAAATTGGTGAACATTTTAAAAATATCGTGAAAGTTTTACGCAAAGCAATACCTTACAAGTAATTTTTATTTATTTAAAACCAGATTTTAATAATTTATATTTGTTTGTTACAGGAGAGCATGTGATGCCGGCCTTTGACGCCCGGCGCCATGCCCACGCCGCTGCAGCCCGGCGGCCCCGCTAGCGGCCCGCCCCCGGAGCGCAAGCGGCGCCGCAAGCGCGACGACCCGCAAAGCTCAGCCGCGCTCGAGCCCGACGACGACGACGGCGAAATGAGCCCCGAGGAGGAGCCCCGCAATGCTCCCGCAGCACCGGCGGCGCCTACGCCCGCACCTTCCTCTGCACCCGCGCCTACCTCACCCCCTGCCGCACCTGACGCCGTCGATCTCACTTCCCGGCGGGACTCCCCGCCGCTCTCCTCCGACGTCGAGCGATTCGATGGCAAAATTGTCTACAATCCTGATGGATCAGCCTACATCATTGAGGACCCCGAACTATCAGAGGGTGAAACCAGCTTATCCGACTTACCTAAAATAGAACCGGGGTGCATCGTCGATAGCCGTGACAGCAACATTGTCGAGAGACAACTAGAATTCCCACAGATCGCGAGCGCTTTCTACGTCTCAAGAAACCCGTCGTTATATGGAGCCCTTTACGGTAGATTGGCAGCAGAGAGAGCACGAGCTAGGCCTGATGCGCCAGTGATGCATAGCTACCGAGTGTTCAGTTTTCGAGGAGCTAAGGACGCGCCCAGACCTACATCCCCGCCAACAGAATGTCCTATCAGCGTACCAGTGAAACCGATCCTTATGTGTTTTATATGTAAATTAAGTTTTGGATATGCAAAGTCTTTTGTAGCACATGCGCAGTCTGATCACAGTTTATCATTACTTGATTCAGAGAGGGACGCTTTATCAAGAGAGAATGCATCTGCTATTATTCAATGCGTTGGAAAAGATAAAGAGCCACTAGTCTCATTTTTAGAACCTGTAGGAACGGCCGCACCATCCCGTGCGCCAGTATCAGGTAGCCCTGCAAATATGTCTGAACTTTCAAGCCCATCCATAGACAAAAGAACCGACACATTAACACCTGATAGAGAAAATGATTCTGGATTACCAAATGGTACGTGTGAAGAAAGGAGGCCGAGCCCGAATGCGTGGAGGCCACCTCGATCGATTGCAGAATCAATGGTACAGCAGCATTCCTTGATCTCAGTAGCACATCCTCACACAATAAATGCTTCTGTGCAGCCACGAATTAGCCCAAATTCTTCCCCACCATTCCAAGCGACACCACCAGCTTTCCTTTCTGGTACTACGATAGGGGTGTGCCCAGATCACCTTGGAGGTCGACCTTCAGGAGCAGAATGCCCTAAATGCGAGTTAATATTGAACTCTGGGAGACTAGGCGGTCCATTAGCTGGTATGCATAGTCGAAACTCTTGCAAGACTCTGAAATGTCCAAAATGCAATTGGCATTATAAATACCAAGAAACATTAGAAATTCATATGAAAGAAAAACATCCTGAGGCCGAGACGAGCTGTATCTATTGTATAGCTGGTCAACCTCATCCTAGACTAGCACGAGGAGAAACTTACACCTGTGGGTACAAACCTTATCGTTGCGAAGTATGTAATTACTCCACTACCACTAAAGGAAATCTTAGCATACATATGCAGTCTGACAAACATTTGAATAACATGCAAGAGTTACAAAATGGTGGCAATCCTGGAGAAGGAAGTCTACCTCCAGCGCCTCAACATACACCACCAGGTGCTCACAAGCCCCCACTGCCGCATCATTCGCCCTTAGGCCAAAAACCTAAGCCAACATTTAGGTGCGATGTTTGCAATTATGAAACAAATGTGGCCCGTAATCTAAGGATACACATGACATCTGAAAAACATACCCACAACATGTTAGTGTTACAGCAAAACGTTAAACATATGCAAACACTATCTGCATTACATCACAGACAACAGAGCCAGCAGCAGTTGGAAAGCTTATTACACTTTCACGGTGGCGATGCACCTCCACCAAATCCAGAGGCTGCTTTAGCCGATATGGCTTACAACCAAGCGCTCATGATACAACTAATGACTGGAGGTCCTGGACCGTCGCCACCTGAATTAGGAGCCCACCTTGACGTTGGCTTAAACCCAGAAGCCATGGAACCACCACCGGAACCGGCGGACCCCGAACCAGAAAGAACGTTCCATTGTTGTATTTGTAACTGCTTTTCTACTGATTCCTTAGAAGCTCTCGGTCACCACCTAGCGCAAGATCGCACCAAGATAAGAGAGCAAGAGATTTTGGCACTCGTCGCCGGTCACTATGTTTGCAAACTGTGTACGTATAAGACAAATTTGAAAGCCAACTTTCAACTTCACTGTAAGACTGATAAACATTTACAAAGATTACAACATGTGAACCATGTTAAAGAAGGAGGACCAAGAAACGAGTGGAAGTTAAAGTTTTGTGGAGGCGTAGGAACAGGTGGTGCTGGTGTTGGTGGGGTACAGGTCAGATGCTGCGCGTGCGACTATTACACTAACTCAGCTCATAAGCTGCAGCTTCACGCAGCGGGTGCTAGACACGAAGCTGCCACTTTATTACTGAGACATCTTCGTGATTGCGCTTCTCGGATTCCACGGGAACGCCCTAGGGTGTACCGATGTGCTCTTTGTGGTTTCGGTGCCCCTCATCGTCTTCCACTTCTGCAACACGTCCGATCAGTCAAACATTTGCAAATGGAACAAATACATCAGCTGCAACGCCGCTCTGAAGGCAAAGACCCAACTCCAGACGTCGCAGAGCTGTTCCAAGTCATTCCTCAGCCAGCAGAATTGCCAAGTCCGTTTGATCAACAAGAAAATGGTAAGTGTAAAAAAAGAACCTCTTGCAATCAAATCTACGGCGACTGTCTCTTTTATTATAGTATTTTTTTCGTTTTAGTAGAATGTTTGTCTTTTCATGTTCACCAGCGTAATAAGGAAATAACTTATTTGCTAGCTAATAATTTTCCAACCGTGACTGCTCCATTGTTATTGAATAGTTCCTCGAGGTGTTGTCTATCACTGTTATACGTCTTAATATTAATTAACAACTTCACCTAAAATTACAGCATTAAAAAACCTAATAATAATTGGATGCGCGTGCGCACGAACCGAAACAATTTTGTTTTAAGCATAACGATGTTTGATAATCGGAGGCCTTTTTCACTATACAAATAAAAAAAAATATATAGTTTATGACTTTTGTACTTAACACATTTCGTAACATTTTATTCTATAAAGCATGAAAATCCCATTAAAATTAATTCAACCAAAACCATTACCGCCGTTCATACCGATAAAGTAATACAGAGTCGACTTATGAATGTGATTTCGAAACGTCACTATCGGTTTCCAATTTAATCCGATTCGTTCCTTAATCAATTTTGTTCTGCATTTTTTACAAACCGAACCTATTTCTATGAGAAGTGCTAATAAACATACAATTTGTGTCGTGATAATTTACTTAGGAATCATAGTTAACGACACTTGAAATTTGGTATGTATGACGTTGCTTATCGGGTACCTAATTAACGCTCGCCGTGACCGTTTCTCGTGTTCAGTCTAAGAAGCAATCTCCATTTACGGCGATGAGCATTTAGCGGAGAATTCGTAATCACAATAATGAGATAATTACACACGGACAAAATTTAATTTAAAGCGCGCAACATTAGAACAGGTTTCTTTAATAACGTACGCCTTACACGGTGTCGCCACAATCGGATGCCGTCATTGGTCGGAGGCGGCTCCGCCCCGCGAGCGAGGGAGACGGACAGAAGATTTGAATTGGGAACGCGAATTTTCCATAAGTACCGCACGCGGTACAATGACTCGCATTACGTATGTGGCCGTCGCGCATTAAGGATGATTGCCTCTTGTGATGAGGCTGCTACATCATCGCACAATGTCACCGGCCGCTTCGCTCGTCACATGTTTATGGCACAGTGAAATACGATAAACTGTGAGAGAAATGTGGACGCCAAAGGAATCTGCTTACACCTTTGTGCACCTCGTGCTCATGGCTTACTCAAAATCATCGATATTTATGTAACTGAAGTCTGCATAATTTCCTTATTAATATTAGTAGTTTTAATAACAATATCAAGATCATTGAGACTAATTCATTTTCTGACACAAACTGAATTAAAGTTTGTTTTATTATAAATAGCGATTAAAGTGCTTTGGAACTATCACGACCCAAATCTATCTGTATTTTTTATAATTATGCCTTTCTTACAAATTTTGTTATTATCTCGCCATCAATTCAATTTCATAAAGAATAAAAACCAGTTTTTAGTTCAATTCTGCTTAAGCAGTGGCACCCTAACAAGATAAGTTTTGGCTTTTATCTTTTGTCGAAGACATCATTTTATAGAAACTTTGGGGTCCTTGATATTGATGGCAAACTTTGTTTATTAAAATAAAACCAGTTATAACAATGTTCCTCTCTTTTTGAGTTTTATAAAAATATTATGCTTATTATAGAATCGAAAATATATCTGATTTTAAAATTTCTATACCTAATTAGGTACTATATACCAAAAAACCGAAATCAAGATATTTTACTTTATATAGCTTAGAAAACGACATTATGTAATTTAACAAACGCAATCTGCGTAAAACATTAAAAATCGAGCTAGAAAAACAGTGAGACATAGTAACCATTGTATCCCTGACGCCACATTGTAAAAATCCTGACCTAAATCTTGCAAAACAAAACTGGCTGCACAATACCTACTTTACGACGCTATAACGATGTGGTGTTTCCTTAGAAAAGGCCCTTTGTCCATTGACAAAAAGCGTCGGAGATCGCATTTGTGCAGACAAGGTCCCTTACCTGGCTATTGTTCTATGCTCCTACCAGACTGTGGGTCGGCGATTCTACATCATAAATAATTACATACATTGGTCACTCTGGCTTTGTATTAGGGTCAGTTGCGCTATGGTTATTATTCCGCACTTGGATTTACTTATCCCCCTCTCTTTCATTAGATGTAACGGTTTTAAACGCTTAAAACTATGGAAACGGGTTCCCGAACAGGGGCTGGGGATTCAAGTTTGCTGGACTGTGAGAACATTTAAATTTTAATTAACTGTAAGTCCAGCTGCATGCTACAGTGTCTTTTATCTACATCTGTGTGACATACCAAAAGAACTTATGAATCGTAGTGTTTTTTCTCAAAATCACAATATAGTATTTTTTAGAATAATCCTTTTTTCCTTATAATGATAAATAAGAAAAATCTGGACCGCTCAATTTACATTGTTGAAAACTATTTTCTTATTCTTTTAATATATATTACTCAAATTGTCTTACATTTTTGTCTCACGTACGCAGTTTGCAAAAAACCGAACACAATAGATTTGGACGGGCCGTCAGATGCTCATCTAATAAAGTATAATTGTAACGTTGCATTAACGAATCTTTGGGTCCCTTACATTTGCTGTCTTTCACCTTCCTTATTTGAGCGTAAACAATGCGGGCCAGCTTCTTTCACACGCTGCTGCGGACTTATCCCTGGTCAAATAATAATTGCACTCTCACATATCCACCATACTGTCGTCTCACTCACACCCACAGTTACCTACACTCGTCAACTCTCCCGTATGCATTTGATCCGATGCGAAACGAAATATTCGAAACCTTTTGTAATAATGAACAATGATTGTTTGCTCGTCCTGTATCTCCTTTGTGTGCAAAATTACAATATACTTGTTACGTCAGCATTAACGAATATGAATGTGTGCGTACGGGATGGATAGAGCCGATACCTTTGTCTTGCCGGGACGTCGCAAACAAAACGAGTCGTACTAATAATATAAAAGAGAAGAATTTTATTTTTAACTTCAATTCAGAAAAGTAACAAACGTTTGCGCCGAACAATAGTGAGCTTCATTTATAGAAATAATCTTTTTTGTAGATAAATCTCACGTAGACATAGGTACACATTGTGGACTGTGGAATACAGATCAACATCCCATTTGTGTCGCAGATTCGGTTGCGGGCGGTTCGAATATTTTTATATTTTGTTTTCCTATTTTTGTTCACGCATAATTTACTTATGTTATTTTTTGTTTGTTAACAGATAACAAAGAACCAATCGATCAGAAGCCAGAATTAACTCAAGAGCAGAAGATGTTGCGATTCTTAGAACAACATCAACAACAACAAGTGCAACAACAACAGCAACAACCGCAGCAAAGCTCCAGCGATAGAGATGAGGAGCGGGAAACGCCAGGACCGCACCCTTGCCAATACTGCAATTTCAGTTGTGGAAGCGAAACTCGGCTACATGCTCACGTGTCATCCATTCATGGCGAACCAGTGAGACATTTCATCTGCCCATTATGCCAGGACGCATTCAAAGAAAGACCGGCTCTTGAACGACATGTCATGCAAATACATTCAGTTAATTCGGAGGGCTTGCAGCGGCTGTTGTTGCTAGTTGATCAAAGTCATTGGCTCAATGGTGCCTCCCAATCACAAAGAGATGACTCCAAGCAAGGCGAAGATGAGCGAGAGATTGCTTCTCCGCGTTCAGAAGGTAGCGCAGACGGCGAAACAGAAAGATGTTCGACTTGCAACAGAACCTTCCGTAATGTTGATGAACTGTGTCAGCACCAAAACGAATCAGGTCACTTAGAACTGAAACAAACCCCTCAAGGGCCTGGTTATGTATGCTGGAAAAAAGGGTGCAATCGATACTTTGATACTGCTCACGCTCTTCAAAATCATTTCAGAGAAGCACACGCCCGAAACTCAATTGCAAACATGTCTGTATCTGAAAAACATGTTTATAAATACCGATGCAATCAATGTAGTCTGGCCTTTAAAACTGTTGAAAAATTACAGCTACATTCGCAATATCATGTTATAAGAGATGCTACTAAATGTGTCTTATGTGGTCGAAGCTTTAGATCTGTGGTTGCCCTTCAAAAGCACGTAGAAACATCCCACCCAGAACTATCAGAAGAAGAATTAAACGCTTTTAAGAGAAGTCTTGCATCGAATCCATTATTACAAAGTAACCAAGGCACAGCTTTAGATTCTGTGACGGCTGAGCTGTTACGGAAAGAGGCACTTCGAACACCTGATGATGAACTAGCAGATACAGAGGATAGAGATTCCAGCGCTACTGTGGCTGACGAGTCAGGCCATAACGACGCTGAAAATTCAGATGATTCGATAATTTACAAAGATCAACAATTCTTGGAAGATTACTTGAATTCGCAAGCTATGGCTGAAGATTCCTATAATGATCCAAATAGAAAGTATAAATGTCATCGATGTAAAGTAGCTTTTACCCGGCAGTCATACTTGACGGCTCACAATAAAACACTACTGCACAGAAAAGGTGAAAAACTCACATATCCGATGGAAAAATATCTTGACCCCAATAGGCCATTCAAATGTGATGTATGCAAAGAATCGTTCACACAAAAGAATATCTTGTTAGTTCATTATAACAGCGTGAGCCATTTGCACAAATTGAAACGAGCCATGCAAGAACAACAGAATAATAACAACCCTCCCGTGTCGCCGGGGGCAGGCTCGGCGCCCTCCAATTTAACACTCACACCGAAAAGTACATCAAGTGAGGAAGACGATCGAAAACGGTACAAATGCAACATTTGTAAAGTGGCTTATACGCAAGGCAGTACACTCGATATTCATATGAGATCTGTACTACATCAAACAAGAGCGGGAAAATTGCAAGAGCTCGCTGCGGCCGGACACGTGGACTTGACACGACCTTTGGTAGAGCAACCGGACAGGAACGACCCCGCCAAAATTTTACAAGACGTGTTGTCGCCAAAAAATACATCCCCTTCGTCTACAAGCAGTGGGGGCCCGCGTTCGTCGCCCCCCGCGCGCCCAGGTAGCCCTCGGTCCCCGCGCGCAGGTAGCGCCTCGTGTGATCGTTGCCACGCGTCATTTCCTACCGGGGACTTACTCGACGCACACCGTGCGACCTCATGCCCGTTTGGCGATGCGCGGGCGCATTCGCCACTAGGTGACGCAGAAGTCGCGGCATTAGACGAGATGGTCGCCAAGGGCAACCCGCCTAAACGAAACTCACAAATGTATAAACAATTGTTAGAAACCTTCGGCTTCGATCTCGTCATGCAGTACAATGAGAACCAGCGGCGAAAAATGCAAGAAGAACGTGAAATGGCGCGGGCGCCAAGTCCGCCACCACCACCTCCGGAAGAAAAGCCGCCGGATAGTGAAACAAAATCGACGTGTCAACATTGTAACAAGGAGTTTTCTAGTGTGTTTGTTTTAAAGACTCATTGTGAAGAAGTGCATAAAGACAAAGTGCCCTTGGAGTTTCTCGAACAGTTCGCGGAGCAATTCAAATCGGAATATGAGAGGAAATCGGGTGCGCCAAACTCACCACGTGCAGCTTCACCGGCGCCGCAGGGTGAGAGGTCCCCGTCACCTCGTGGTGATGGTGCTGGAAATTTCAATGAGAATGGAAATTCCTCTGGTGAAGCTCAAGCTGGAGCGTTGTTAGCTGCGCAAGTGCAAGAAATGCAGGCTGCTTTAAATATGCTGCAGCTTCAACAACAATTGGGTCAGCTCCATCCGATGGTTGCACAGATGCTCTCACTAGGTCTTCCTTTGGGCCTGAACGTTGGGGCTCTGGCAGCAATGAACCTCCAGCCACCACTAGTGCCGCTGATGCTGCCACCACCGCCCTTCGATGCCATGCCATTCGCCCACGACGCGCAACTGAAACAACAACAATTAATACAGCAACAACAACAGGTCAGTTCTACTTTATTTTCGCGTAGTATTATACCTTTATATTCACGTTAGTACTGAAAAAATCTGAATACTATATTCAGGAATAAACTCGCCACCTGCCACTAAATTGCCTGTTAAAATATGTTTTTTATAAAACGGAAGGCAAATGACTTTACCCCACCTGATGTTAAGTAGTGGTAAAGTCGAGACGTGAAGAAACTGTGTAGTATGTAGTAACATACGCATTTAACTTCAAGCCTATAAATCAGGGTTCTTATTTTTTGTATAATTTCAATATAAATATTTTTTTATGATTATATTTTTGCCCTAATTTAATACCAGAAAAAAAACTATTTGGCAGACAAAATATGATTAACCAATGAAATGGCGAGAAGTTTGTTACGTAACAAAGAATGCATTTAAGAACTTCATATCTTGTTATTAACTGTATTCATATAATTGATTTATTTCTATATGACATAATTCACATGATTTGCACATGTTGCGTGTAAGAGAGAGATTTAACAATTATATACAAAGATTTAATTACACATATGCTTTCATAAGGAATTCATTCAAAATGTCTTTCAAAACTATTTTAACATTAAAGGCTAAATATAACGGTAATTTAAGCAAATACGAAGGATATCAATAAAAGATAAGAAGGGCGATTTATCATTAGCTATCTGTTTGCACAAAGCAACAGAGGGCCTATTGTTGCACCTCAGGGACATAACGCCTTTTTATTATTATTGAACGTTACCTGCGAGTACTAAAGAAACTCTCAAATAAATAAGTCTTTAAGCCTTCCTTTGTTCGTTTACAGTCTTGTGGCTTTTGGTATTTATGTGTTGTGCTATATAGATGCAAGTGATTAAATATTAATAATTTCTCTTGTTTACAGGCAAATGCTGCAGCAGGGCAGAAACGAGCTCGTACTCGTATCACAGATGAGCAGCTTAAGATTCTTCGAGCACACTTCGATATTAACAACTCGCCCAGTGACGAGGCAATAGCCAAGATGGCTAAGCAGTCTGGTCTTGCTACCAAGGTAATAAAACACTGGTTCAGAAATACGCTTTTCAAAGAGCGCCAACGGAATAAGGATTCCCCATACAATTTTAATAACCCTCCGTCGACTACACTCAACCTTGAGGAGTATGAAAAAACAGGTGAAGCTAAAGTCACTCCATTAGATACATCTGCCAGCTCCGATGAAGGTAAACCACCTCCAGAGAAGAAGGCTAAAATAGAAGATGTATTGTCTAACAATCAACAAGAGGTAAAATCAGAACCAAACGATGAACCAACGATGGAAGAAAAATACAATTCGTATGAGGACAGACATCAAGAAGATAAAAGCTTTATTTTTCCTCAAGCTCCTTCGCAAAGCCCCGCACCAAATATGAATCATTCTGACCATCAACAAAATATATCACGACCACAAACACCAACACATCTGTCTTTAAACTCTTTGATTCAGTCTCAGTTAGACTCAATACCAGCTACTAGTATACCGCAGCCACCTCATCCATCGATGCTGCCACCGAAACTAAATCCGAATTTCACGTCCCCAAACTCCGCGCCCCCGAACGTCCTACCTTTGACCCCAAATCGCAGCCTCAGTCCTGGCAGAGGACCGGCGGATTTCGGACTTTCCGGGGGCAACTCGAACGGATCCAACAGCTCGGGGTCTTCTGGCAAACGCGCCAACAGAACTAGATTTACTGATTATCAAATCAAAGTTCTACAAGAATTTTTCGAAAACAACGCTTATCCAAAAGATGATGACTTGGAATACTTATCAAAACTACTTGGATTGAGTCCTCGAGTAATAGTTGTATGGTTCCAAAACGCACGACAAAAAGCAAGGAAAGTATACGAAAACCAACCTGCTGCTGAACCACCTGCTGGAGCAACAGATGATGCTAATCGATTTCAGCGGACTCCTGGCCTTAACTATCAGTGTAAAAAGTGCCAACTAGTTTTTCAGAGATACTATGAGTTAATAAGACATCAAAAAACGCACTGTTTTAAGGAAGAAGACGCCAAGAGATCGGCACAGGCTCAAGCAGCTGCCGCTCAAGTAGCCGCTACATTGAGTAGCGAGGATTCGAATTCAAGTACCGTGGAACATCATGCTCCTCATATACCAGTGTCGCCAGCACCACCTCGCACTCCGACTCCAGCCGCCCCTAACTATCCAGTATCACCTGCCCCTCCAGCCCCCCATACCCCAGTTACGCCTCTAACACATACTCCACGTGAAGAAAAGGATGGAAATTTTCAATGTGATAAATGTAACCTAGTCTTCCCTCGATTCGACCTATGGCGGGAGCATCAACTTGTTCACATAATGAATCCTAATTTGTTTCCTACATATCCGCCAGATTCTCCATTTGGTATCCTGCAACAACATGCTCAATTACAACAACTAAATGCTTCACTAGGAAATGATGAAGCCAGGCATCCATTAGTAGCAGCTTTAAATCAACAAGTAGCTAAAAGAAAATTTGATGACTTTGAAGAGACCGAAATCGGAGAACAACCTAAAGATAAGAGGTTAAGAACTACAATTTTACCTGAGCAATTAGACTATCTTTATCAAAAGTACCAAATAGAATCGAATCCTTCTCGTAAAATGCTCGAAAACATTGCACGTGAAGTGGGGTTAAAAAAGAGAGTAGTTCAAGTTTGGTTTCAAAACACGCGAGCACGTGAAAGAAAAGGACAATTTCGAGCACACGCACAGGTCATAAATAAACGATGTCCTTTTTGTCCCGCACTATTCAAGGTCAAAAGCGCATTAGAAAGTCATCTGAGTACAAAGCATGCAGACCAATGTGCGAGAGGTGAAATCAATGTTGACGCTTTGCCAGACGAAGAATTAAGTACAGAGTCTACACCTAGTTTTGGCTCACAACAAAGTGACAGACAGCAAAATTTTTCCCAAGCGGGGGCTCCCATGTTGCCCCCTATATTCCCGCCTTTTCACTCAGACATGGAGAAATTTATCAAGCAGTACAGTGAAGAATCGATGAAACGATATGTAAGCGAATTACAAGCACATGCTGCTGCTCAACAAAATGGTAGCAATGAATCTAGTGAAAGACGACCAGAACATGGAAAATCGGAAATACCCTTAGATCTCAGCAAGCCTGTAGACCTATCACGACCTGGTTCTGATGCTGATGAGCGTTCAGATACCGCATCAGAGACAATGGAATTCTATGAAGAAGACGAGCCTACGTCACCAGTGACGGGCCAGCCACAAACACCCAGACCTCCAGGCAAGCGCTTCCGTACACAAATGTCGTCATTACAAGTGAAAATAATGAAATCACTATTTAATGACTACAAAACGCCAACGATGGCAGAATGCGAAGCACTCGGGCGCGAGATCGGTCTACCTAAACGTGTAGTGCAAGTTTGGTTCCAAAACGCACGTGCCAAAGAGAAGAAAGCGCGGCTTGCGGCTGGTCTGTCGGAGGTGTCAGATGCTGCACCACCGGAGGAGTGCCGCGTGTGCGACTTCAAATACAGTCACAAGTACTCGGTACAAGACCATGTGTTCACGCGCGGACACATCGCGGCGGTGCGCGCGCGGCTCGAGAGCGGCGTCGGCGGCGTCGCTGGCATCGGCGGCGGCGAGGACAGCAGCACGCTCGCGCTTATGCAAATGGCAGCGCGCCTGGAGAGCGGCCTCGGTGGGGATCTACACAACGCGTTCCTGCGGCCTCAGCTCGCTGGCAACGGTGAGTGCACCTGACCTCCCTCGCCGCTCGGCGCTATCACGCGCTGCGCGACTTCGGGCCCTTAGTTTAAAACCTCGCGAGTTATTCCTTTTGTACCACATTGTCATTGAATTCCATTATCAATTGTAAAATGTTGCCGCTGGAATGTGATACAGAAGGAGTTGTCGAATTTCGTAGCGGCGAGCTTCGCTCGATTGAATGCATGTAACGCGTTCGTTTTGATAATGCCACTATTACAAACAATTCGAGCGAAGCTCATTTCGTGCCGTGACGGTCGTTGCTCTATTTTCCTACTAGTGAGTCCTTTTGTAAATAAAATTTAGTTGTTACTTGAAATAATTTTACGATATCGCCACGCAGTGTCGGTTGTTCAATTTAAAATTAATATCAGCAACGACGTAGAATTCATAATGGGTAAACGGATCCTCAAATAAATGGTTTTCTATTCGGTTTGTCTCATGCAAAAGCTAATGGAGGCACGTACACGATTCAATCTCAGAAATTATTTTGTAATTCAAATAATTACCAAGTACCTATAGCTCGAAGCGTGGCAACCTGACCGAAACAGTAAAAAACATTTCTCAATCTACTGATAATAATGTAACCTTAAAATTAGTGTGAAATGGATTATTTTTTCTTTGGCTCGGGTGCCAGAGGTTTGTTTTCGATTAATTGTGAGCAGTCGTTCGGTCGGTTGTGTTATGTAGTCCAGATGACGGCTCGTCAGGGCGAGAGGTTGGCCTATGGGCGGTTTACGCCGCGGCCGCTATTCAAATGCAAACGAAATAACAATGGTAGGAGATGGGACGCGTGAAGGACGCCGTGGATCTAATGGAACCGATCTGACGCTTGCATTTCGCTCCACATGAATAATCAATTATTCAAATGACGCCAATCAGAATACTTTCTTGGAAATTTCACTCGAATACCTTTTATTATTGATTTATTGTTTTTTTTTGTTATATTATTAATGGCACAACCGACATTACGAGGCCGTCTAGAATAGTAATCTGTTGCATAATATTATTCTTCCTAGTTGTTCATATTTAAAACTCCTATTAGATGTAGCGATTTGTCGATTGTTGTAGGATTGTAATGAAAACCAAATTATATATTTTAGAAAATTTAAAACATTTTAGTTATCGTGTAAAGTCATAGCGAAGCCTGAAGTCTATATAACTATTTAAATAAGGTGCCTTTTAAGATTGAAGTGTTTTGTAAATTATTATCTCTGAACTCTGTATATAATTAAAATTTGTACAAGTATACTATTAGTTATAATGATCATTAGTAGTACGCTGTAAAATTGTCTCCGATCATTGTTCGTAACGAGTATGTGTTACGATAGTTATCTATATATAGGTAGATATAAATAAATATACATATTGTTTGTTTCGTCGAGGCGTCTTAAGAACTTGTGATATAACTGTACATCTAATTATTTAGTATTTCGAATATATTACACAAAGGTCTCGCGACAGAGGCGCGAGCGTCGAAGTACAAAAGTACATACAGACATAACATTAGGAGTTTGTCACGTTTTACATAATAAATAATAATGTTGTTTGTCGTGTGGGGTCTGGGGTCCCGCCGGCTGCAGTTTTTGCTATTCCCCAAGACATTTACATGAAACTGGATCGGGATTGGGGAGTTAGGCGATATGCAAATATTTTCTTCAAATTTAAATGCTTGATACAATTGCCGCCAGCGTGTGCGACGCCCTGCGCACGCGCTGCGGGTGTCGCCATTCTTCTATTTATTTATGTGGAAATTTTTACCTCGCCTTAGCGTCTTGATACGTCTCTATTGATCTTTCAAATGCAAATATTACACTTTACGATAGCAAATATAATGGAACGTTATTTACCCACTCGAAATGTACACACACCGCTCTTATTTGGAGCATGCCTATTTGCATATCGCTTTTTTATATTATTTTTAATTTTTATTTTATTTCGTTATGTTTGTATTTATTTTTGTTCTTTGATTTTATTCTAAATATTTTGTTTCGTCGTGTAGATATTATTATCATTAGCGTCAGGGCCACTGGCGTCGACTAGGTTCGACTTTGCCTCCAATACGACTTCCATAATTTAATTTTAATTTGTATAATTTAATTTTAACTCATAACTTTGCGATCTGCATTTACTGTTATTAAAATGAACGTTGTTCAGTAGTTGTTTGAATACAAAGTCCAGTGCCAGCCAGTGAAGGTTTTCTTTGATGTTGTGACGTCATCGTCACAATCGTGAAAGAGTGAAAGTCTTGTAAACTGAATAGTATTATTATAATTATTATCTACAGTTATTATATTTGCAGAATTCGTTGAAATAAATGCAATATTTATATTATTGATTTATGTTTTTTTTTCTTTTGTTTAAGTTTCCTTGGTTCCTTTATCCTAAGTTTTTTTTTTTGCTTTTGGTTTTTTGTTTGAAAAGTACAGAAAGGTGGTAACAAAGAGTTTAATGAAGGATATTTTTTTCTGTAACTTTGTAGAACAGTCTCCAGCTAAGAGGCTGAGAATTAAATATACTTACGGGCAGGTGAACTTTGGGTTGTTAACAACAAAGTGCAAACATCGCACAATGGTGCCGTAAAATTTAGAAATACCTGAGAGAGATACTGAAACAAAGATGGGGCCTTTTGTTTTTATTTAAATGAATCGTCCAAGTATCGAGTGCCTTTTTGAAGGAGCAAACAATTGATTTGAATACTTACCTACATTTCCGCTTCGTGGGAGGTAAATTGCCAGGAAATGTTTGCAACATTTTTAAACTTACTCTAAAGTAGATTTTACAGATTGCTAATGTGCTAATACATGTACATTTTCTTAGGGAACTATCTGAGCAATATAGGTTTTCCACAGAAATTCATACCTATATGGCTGTTAGGCCCACTTGCACTAAAATTCTTAAATCTAATGGGCTTTAGGCAATATCCATCTTGCTGGATGCAACAAGTGGGACAGCGCTAGTGGTCTAGAGGCTCCAGACGGAGAGGCGACTCCCTGCGTCGGGAGATGCCATCCGCCTGAAATACCTCTAGAGGCACTCGCCAATTCTCGGCTGAGGCCCCCTTAGGATCCCGGCGTCCCCAAACCCAGTGACAATGTAAAGGTCATCTACAACCAACAGCATACACACTCAAAAAAAAAAGGAACGGCAAACGTGTAGATACACGTAAAACAGAAGCTCTAATTCCATATCTTTTACGTGTATAGCGCTGTCCGCATGCTGGACCCAGCAAGATGGATTGTACATAGAGGACTTATGAAGGCCGTCTGCGAAAGAATAATTAATTTTCTAAATTTCCAAGTTTTCCACCGCCACCAAAGTTTTTAAATCGAATGGGCTCTAAGCACTATCTATCTAACATGCTGGATTCAGCATGCGGAAAAGCGCTATATACGTAAAAGAGATCCTCTATCTCCATCTCTTTTACATGTATAGCGCTGTCCCGCATGCTGGATCCAGCGAGATGGATACTGCGTGGAGGACTGAAATGCTAATGATTAAGCCTCATACTCCGTCAAACTTTAAAGAAATAGAGAAGATGGAATGATGTTTTAAAGACTAGTAAGCCTTAATTTGATTTAAGAATGTTAGTGCCAGTGGTTCATAAGTCAACCAAGTCTGCGAAACATAATTAATTTGCTAAATTGCCAATTTGCCCACCGACACCAACAGGTGGCGTCCCTGGAGCGTCATTAAAGTTTCACGTTTACGCAAAATCGATGAAGTAAGTTCAAAACACACTGCGCTGTAGACTAGACTAGAGTAAAAGAAAGAAACATAAACTTAATCGAGTTTTTATCTAATGTATCTAATGATCGTGACGGCACGCTGCGATGTTTGTTGTTCCCTCAATTGTTTTTTTTTCACGTCTAGGTTTATTGGTACTAGTTTATCAGCAAAAAAGACTACAATTTTCAGCCTACGTTAAAACTTCGCTGGTAGTTTGTTGCATAATATTAACTTTGCAAAACTATTTGAGGTAGAAATCCATGCATATCAATGCGAAAGTGAGTCTGTCTGTTACCTCTTGATGCTTAAAGCGCTGGACCGATTTAGACTAAATTTAGTTTCCCGGAAAAGGGCATAGGATAACTAGTTTTTATCCTAGAAATTATCATTGAAGGGGGGAGGGGGTAGAAGTTTGTCTTTGAAACCAATTTTTTTTCACGCCGACGAACTCGCGGGCACCCACTAATATATTGTAAATTAAATGAAATTTCGACAGATTTCTTAATCTTTAGTAATGTAGACAAATAACTAAAGCTTAATTAGGTAAATAATGAAAACACAAAAGAAAGTAATATATATATAGGATTTTTTAATTATTAATGACCGAAAATCCCATACCTATGAACCCTTGATGCGATACAAAAGCAGCCGTTGGAATGCAACTCTGCATCTGAGTTCAAGCACGAATTTTGATAACACCGCCGTAATCGTATTGCATCGTCAGTTTCTATGAAAACTGAGCAGCGCCCTCTGTCAGACGTAAGAACAAATTGGCTCCCACCATACAAAATTAGGCGATGATGAGACCATGACGGACCTTTCAAAATTCGTAGTTGGGTCTCTGTATAGTAATGTAACCGTTTAAAAGTCTAAACTGAGTCGCATGAATAGTTCATGGTACGATCTCACTATCTTTTGATGAACTGGTAGATCGAGATATCAAAATTAAAAAAGAAACTGGTCAAGCGGAAGTCTGATCTCACTCTATTAGGGTTCCGTAAAATCATTCGTATGATTTCGCCACAACTGACAAAAACGGCGTTTTCAGTATTTGTTTTTTAAATAGAACAGCATAATTTGGGACATAACACACCAAAATTTCACATCTGAACTACTTTTGATTTTGCTAGAACTTTTTTATCTCGAGCTCCTCCGTGCTTTGGAAGGTAAGTTAAGCCGTTGGTGCCGGCTGCATCTGCAGTCGTTAGCACACACCAATCCGCGCTGGGTCCGCGTAGTGGGTCACGTCACGGCCCAATCTCCCTATACCATCCATAGGGAGGACCTGTGCCCCAGCAATGGGGAGACTAATAGGCTGGTGATGATAGGAATCGAAACTTACAGGCTACCCTATTTCTCTTGTCCTAAAATCATGTAATTTGGCAAAAAATAATGCCATATAGCACACGTAAAGAAACAAGTACATAATTAAAAATTAGGAGAAAATCTTAAAATAATTAATAAAAAGATTCAGTCGTATTTTTAAAGCTGCGTAAGTACTTAGATACAATTTCAAATTATAGTATTAACATAATCTACATACCTACAAAATAACAGAGCAGTCAGTATTAACTATTTCAACTATATTTTTTAAGTAAATAGATTGTCAATCAAGCATAGATATGACCCGCCTGATGGTAATCAGCCACCATAGTTTACAGTTACTTACGATACCAGTACCCTTAGTAAGAACCAATATCGAATTCGTAACGTTTGCGAGTCCGAAATGTCATTGTCAAATGTGTACTGATTTTTAGTTCTCGTTACGTAATTTGTGGCGCTGCTATTCAAGAATTCGATAATCGTTCGTGCTAGGGATACTGTACCCTTAGCACGAACCATTATCGAATTCGAATAGTTTGCGAGTGGGAAATGTCATTGTCAAATGTGTACTGATGAAATGAGTTTTCGTTACGTCCTTTGTGGCGCTGCTGTTCAAGTTTTCATACAATATTTATTACTCGCGTCATACGGCATGCGTAGACAAGGGACTTTATGTCCACATACTATTTTGTCCGCCAAAATAGATCGCTTACAACTGCATGGATTAAATGTACCACGTACGCACGCTATTGAAGTAAATAAACGACGAGTTGACTACCTCCGTGGCCGAGTGGTTTGCACGCCGGGTTTCATGGTGTCGCCGACTCGAGAGGTCCCGGGTTCGAATCCCGTTGGGGGCAGATGTTTGTGTGATGAATACGAGCATTTGTACTCTAGTCATGAATGTTTAATATGTATCTATATATATAAAACTCAAAGGTGACTGACTGACATAGTGATCTATCAACGCACAGCCCAAGCCACTGGACGGATCGGGCTGAAATTTGGTATGCAGGTAAATGTTATGACGTAGGTATCCGCTAAGAAAGGATTTTGATTAATTCTACCCCCAACGGGATAAAATAGGGTATGAAAGTTTGTATGAAACTTTGTCAATTTTAAACCGATCCGGCTACGACTTTGCATACAGGTATAAGAAGAATCATAGATGAATGTCATTGTGTATAATACAAGCCTGAGAACAAAAATGGTAGTCTACACCGAAGCGAAGCGAGGGCGGACCGCTAGTTTCTATATAAATATATTATTATATATGTATAGTATGTGTATTCTATCCGTTACCCTAGTATCCCATAACACAAGCCTACAGTGCTTACTTTGGGGCTAGGCTAATTGGTGTGAGTGTTGGAAATATTTATTTATTAAATATTGTCAGATTACGTTGTGTTGTAATCAACATGCAGTTTAAGTAAAGGGAAGACGTTTTAAAAGAGAATACTGGGTGCATCTCTTAATATCGGATCGATCGCACAACGCAGAATAATGCTCGTTGTGTGCGTTGCTGCCCCTGGTCAGGTCACATAAGTTCTATTTTTTTCGAGAACACACCTGCACTTTTTTCCATTCCGATCTCTTGGTGTCCTCAGTTATTCGGTGGACTTTTTTACGCGGTAGGTACTTTTAATCCCTCGTGTGCGGTTACTCCATGCCGTTGTAAGCGATCTTTTTTGGCGGACAAATCTGCCTCGTCCGCGCAGGACATTACCCTGACCCCATCTCCTACCCCTAGAAGCCCTGTACAACACCATCGTTAGGTAGTGTTAGTTAGAAAGGCTGCAATTCGCTATGCCCTAACTTCCTTAATACTTATTCCAAATGAGAGTAATAAAAAAACCAGCTGCTTTAGCGGCTATACATTTTTACCAAAACAGTTAATTACGATAAGTATTTAAATAAAAGTAAACAGTTCCAAATAAAAAAATATCATTTGTCAGAACAAGTTACAATACAACAAATGTAAGATCTTATTTCGATCAATTATTGTTGATCATAGGCAGGTATTACCTGTTCCTTAGATGCTTTGACTAGACCTGAAGGGATATTATATGATTACTAGCTGTCCCAGCGAACTTCGTACCGCCATAAAAAAATAGGGGTTGGTGGTAGAAGGGTGAAAATTTAGGGTTGCATGTATTTACTAATGCTGTGTAATAAAAAAATTAAAAAAAAAACTAAAATTGAAAAAAAAAATAGGGCTGGATTACCCTTAACATTTAGGGGGATGAAAAATAGATGTTGTCCGATTCTCAGACCTACCCAATATGCACA